CCTACCACAACCATTCATCTAGAACAAATATTTAGCCACTTTGTTTCTTGGGTTTTCATATGTTCCTGCACAACTAAGATCCAGCTTTTTAAGCCCTCCGGAAAGTAGTATTTTTTCAATATCTTGACACTCCTGACCTGCTGGGCTACCTCGCCAGGCCACAACACAATTTCATCTGCTTAAAATGTCTTTTGCCCTCACTTATCTGGCTTCTCCTTGACTGTAAATTTCAAGCATCACAGATTCTGCTACACTTTTTCTGCTTTACCTACCTGTCACCACTTAACAATACAGAAATCAGTATAACATAATGGTTGTTAACACTGACTCTTTTAAGCAAATCTCCCTGTATTTGAATATCTGCCATGCCATTTACCAATTGAGGAAGTCTGACAAATTACTGAACTTCTATGATCCTAACTTTCTTCAATTGTAAAATGATAATAATGCCTCATAGGACTTTTCTGAGGATTAAATAATCTATATAATTTACTTAGAATAATATCTGGCACATAAGTGATAGCCTGTTATTTCAGTAGTAGTTATTTTACCATTGGTTTTATAATTTTCTTGTCTGGGTCTCACATCAGACAGGTCAGCTGGGACAAGCTCTCATTTGTCTATTTATAATAGTTAGCAGAGGTGGATATATAGAAGTCATCATGAAGTTTTGGTGACTTAATTATTGAAAGATGGATTAGTGGATGATGGACAGATTTGTGGATGGATATGTGGTTCAATGATTGAATTGATAAATGAGTTGGATTGTTTGTACACTTCATGGGACAAGTGGAGAGATGAATGAATGGATAGATTGGATAGATGGATTGTTAGGTGATGGATGGATGGATGAATGGATGGATGGATGGATGGATGGATGGATGGATTTTTGAGTTAGACTGAGGAATAAATGGTCAAATGGATTGTTACATAACCAACTGCATCCCATTAAAATGATATGGAACAGAGATAAACAGTGTTTGAAGTCAATCTGGTCAGCTATCTAAAAAGAAGATTCTGCAGCATGTGATTTATTGTGTTTGGGGTTATTGTTTTATTTTGTTTTGTTTTCCCAAGCACAACTGTTTTCTTGCTCAGGATTTTTCATTTTAGGCAATATGTTATTTCCAATATCACTACATCCTTGTAAATTTAGACCTTCAGTAAATCTTCTTCTAGGCTTAGAGGAAACATGCATGTAAACTGTTTTTGTCACAGAGTAAAGACCTATTATACTAGCCCTGGAAGATGTTGCAGTTTAATTGGAAAAAATATTCAATTCACAGAAGTCTGTCAGTTTCCATCATTCTAGGAGTTTCCCTGAAGCTAGATCAGGGATCTTTTGGTGACATCCAGAATAGCTCAGAAAAGCTGCTTGGAAGGTTTGCTCTGTGGCTTAAAGGTCAAGAAGGAGTCATACTGTCATGAGAAGGTGGCCCAGGCAGAGGTAAACCTTGATGGTTGAGAGCAGAAATGCCCACAAGATCAGAACACTGAGTCAGCCTGAAGCCCAGGAGTAGGTGGGTGCTGACAGGGAGAAGACCCACCTCAGGATGATCGCTTTGGAATTGTTCCAAAGAAACTCACAACCTTTGAACTGCTGAGGAACAACCTCTTAGAGTCTCAGCCAAAAATGAGAATAATAATGTGGGCCCCGGGGCTGTGGGAAAGCCTGGAGGAGGTCATGGCCTGGCATCTCTGTGTCTGGCTCGCTACTGATTAGCTGTTTGCCTGTTCCCTCTAAGGCAGCACAGCGGTCAAAACAACAAGCCTTAGAGTCTTGATGCTGTCAAATGCAGTTTCCTGCTGTACGAGCTTCAGCTATTTACTTCACCTTCTTGGCCTCAGTCACCTCATTCTGTAAAGTAAAAGTGATAAAGAAAACCTGTCTCTTAGTGCAGTTGTGAAGAATTCTTGAATTGATGTGTGATAAGAGCAGAGAACAAAACCTGGTACAAAATAAATATTACCTAAATATTTATTCTTATTTTACAACTATTTTTATTATTCCTAAAGACATGAACACTTTGTCATGGTGATCAGAATAAAAAGCAAAACTAGTGGTGGAGACATAAACATTCTTTTACACATTCTTAGTATATTCCAAGTGAAGGTGAATAAAGTTGAATTTAATGTAGACTGATATAATTTATATAAAACATTCTATATGTTACATAGCCTGTATATTTTGAATCTACTTTAGATTAACAAATCATAATGTTAATGGCCACAATTATGTTAGAATAGGTAATTATTGCCCCCAACCTTGAGATAGAGAAACCGAGGCTTGTAGCCATTTAGTGATTTGTTCTAGAAGATGCAGCTAGTAAGTGATGCTATAGAAATGCTGTCCTAGCTTACTCCTCAGGGCTATCTGATCTATAAGCCATCTATGTCAGACACTTGGTGTGTGCATCAGGAAACAGAGGGCTGAGTGGAGATTCCTCCAGGGTGTGTGACTTTTCCAGGATCTCTCAGTGAACAAAGCTGAGATTAAAATGCTGGCCCATCTGTTCTCGCCCCAGTGTCATTGATGATGTAGGAGAACACAAGTATTGTAGTCCATTTTCTGTGGGTATAACAATTCACTTGAGTCTGAGCAACATTTACAGAAAAGAAACTTATTTCTTATATTTCTGGATCCTCAGAAGTCCAAGCGCATCACCCCAGCATCTGCTTAATATCTGAAAAGGGCCTTCTCGCTGAGTCTTCAAAGGTGGAGGGCATCCATGGTGAAGCAGAACAATTAATTATGTGTCAGCTCAGGGCTCTCTCCCTCTTCTTATAAACCACATCCCCTTATGGGGGTCCTACCCTGACAATGTTATCTGATCTCAATTACTTCCTAAAGATCCCACCTCCAAATACATCAGCACATAAACTTAGGACATGAATGTCAGCATAAGTTTCAGAGCATGCATTCAGTCACAGCAACAGAACTGTGTAAGTCTTCATCAAATGGATCCTGAATTTTGTGTCTCTGAGAAATGACATGTTCAGGACCAGCCAGCAGTGAAGTAGAGGAATTCTCCTTCCTCTGCCAACCTGCATGACTGGTGAAAGATATTTGATGACTTGCCATCAGATCACCCAATTTGTATCCATCGTAGCCTAAGATTTTTCTCTCTCTTTCATCATCCAGGGCCACTGTTTGGTCCAAGATACTGAGTAGTCCTCTGGGTGGCTGGACCTTTCTGCATCATAGCTCATCGCTCTCAGCTCAGCCTCCCAAGGAGACAAGGAGCCTATGTCTCCTCATCTCTCAGTCACTTTCCTTGTGTGGCTAGAGGACTAGCAGTTTAAGCCTTGCCGGTAGCTGAGAGAAAGCTTAGAGATATCCCGGCCTTGGGGACTTTGGCTACTTCTTACTAGAAAGGAAGAAATCTGGGACACTGAAAGCATGTTCTTGTCTCTGTGATTATAAAGACTATCTTCCTGTGACAAGAAAATAAGTTAATGGTTGCAATTAGTCAAATAATCCAAGGGAGAAGAAAACTATTCTTGCTTATGGGTATTTGGGAACCTGAATTTTCTAGCAATTTTTCTTAATCCTCAAATGTATTACTTATTGTCAGGGTAGCAAAATCTGATGTGAAATAAAAACATTCCTATTTATTTTCTTACAACATCAAACAAATTACAACAAAGGGAATATCATAGACTTATTTGAGATTTGTGATTTCTCAGAAGCCAAGAGCTAGTGGAGACATTAGAAGGAGATTGAAGGCAGTGATTTTTCAATCTTCTTTTGGAAAGTGGAATTCTTAGGAGTGTGAAATAAGATGAAACTCCAATTTACAAACAGATAAAAATAACGACACTCTGGCTCTGTTGACCCAGAACCCCCACTTTCTCAATATTCTTCTCCCCACTTAGAGGATTGCTACTCAGGAGAGCCCCTGGATTCCTAGGAATACACTTTGAAAACTACTAGTCCAGTTCATCACATCTAAGTGACGTAGGAGAACACGAAGCACAGAATTTACTCAAGTTAAGGACTTTTCAGACTAAAAGTTGAAACTCTTCCTTTTTAGTACCATATTGTTTTATGAGGAGGATGAATTGTTTCCTGGTGGCTTACTATTATGTAAGAAATGAATCTCAAATTCTAGACTTAGAGAATAGGTTACTCGCATGAGTGTGCTCTTTGGGCCGGGTTTAAATGGAATGGCTTGTTCCAGTTCTATGATGTCAATGGTGTCAGATAGGATAGATTCATTAAATGGGATATTTTTTCCCTTTTTCTAGTCTCAGGGACTTTCTATGTGATCACTCCATTGTGGTGACCTCAGGGGAGTTGACCTTCTTTTCTGAAGACTTGAGATTTCAAGAGTGTTCAAAGATTTGGATGGAGCCATAAGGGTTGGAAAATCCTATAGCACAACTACTTCCATATTCTGTTGTCATACAAAGCCAGCCCTGATTCTATTTGGAAGAGTTAGTCTGCACCTGGGCCTGAGAACTGGGAAGTATAAGTCACTGGGGAGATCTTAGAGGCTGGCTATATGATTTAATTTCTTTTGGTATGGCCTTACCAAATAGATTCTGGTGCAAATAAAAATAATCAAAGGAGTTTTTGTAGCTTTTTTTGCTCACAGGAAGGAGCACTGTCATGCAGAAGAATGTTAGGCTAGTGCTAAGTGATTGCACAAAGGCATTCCAAGACCAAAGGATTCTAATTACAAGAGAGTTAGTTTTAGTTGACCATAAGCAAAAACTTTTGAACAGCCACCATAAAACTGGATTCCTCTACGTGCAATAGTGAGTGTCCCTATGATAAGAGCAGTCTCTTGCTCATTTTTTCTGCAGTTGAAAATTTTGGATTCTCAGAGAAAATGATTAGTAGAGAAACCTGCATCTCCTTGAGCTTAGGGATGCTGAAATAATATATGCATTTCTAAGAATCAAGATTTCACATAAATCTAATTCTTGTTTGTTTGTCTTTTCTTTTTTCCCTCTTTTTGGACATTTCCTTCATCTGACTGCCCATCAATATATAGAAGAAATGCTTATTCCTACTCCTATTACTTGTAAGTATCGAGCTGGTGTTAACTTTGGTTCGTACCCCATGAGGGAACCTATAGCATGCATTTCCTGCATCAACCAATTGTCTGTTGGCTTCTTGTATCAGCTTCTGTCTAAGTCATCTGTATCCCTGAAGTTTTTATTTTGTAGAGATGTTTTCCATTTTAAAATGCACTGTCATTGTTCAAGTCTGTGATGTTCCTGTCCTCTTAATTTTTCTCCTATCTTTGGAGACATGAAAGGTTGTTTCTCCTTTATGAATGCAATTTTTGGTAGAAATCCTGAATTACAGCAAGAGAGGGACCCAATCGTCCTGCAGGACATGTCCTAATAAGAGAATCACAGAACCTAGCAACTTCTAAACCTATTTGTGTCTCCTTGGGGAATACGTACCCTAGGGGATCAAAAGTTAGATAGGAATCCATTGAGTATTTTCATTATTTCAAACAGACTTCAGGGAAACAGTAGGAATCATTACTGCAGGTAGACCTACCTCATAGGTGGCAGAAATAGCCAGTATCTTTGCTTTAGGCTAGAATTAATCTGTTCAGTGTTTAGCATTAGTTATCTCACTTTATCAGTACATTTTGTTTGGAATTATAAATGGCTTCTGGCATATTAACTTTTTTCACTTATAGATAAAAGTGTTTTTATTAATAAAACAGATCTTCAAAATATGAGCATAAAGGAGAAAAGATATATAATAGACTCTTGATATCAAAAAGTTGAAAACCACTGAAGTATTCCCATATTGCTAATATTCATCCTGCTTTTTTGAAATATGGGGTTCAAAGGGAGATATGTGATCTCATTACATATGTAGCAAGCAGAATGGGATTAGAGTCAAAATGTATTTCCTACCACGCTATGTCTTATATCATCTCAGACAAACTCAGCCTTGTGAGAGAGCTTTCTATGGTTATTTCCTGAAACCTTCACAGATGAACATGGAGCTGATAAAGGGCTGACCCATCACCCTCTGCTCAGTAGGGCCAAGCAGTGATCAGATTAGATGGTGGTACTTCTACTGTCCTATTATAGGAGAACCAATAACTCCCACCAGCAGTACTGGAAGTACTAGAGAACTTCCTTCATTTGTTCATTCGTTCCTTAACAAACATACATGGAAGATGCACATTATGTTCATGTCAAATAATTCAAATGTCAGCTAAGATGTACTTGTATATAATATGGTATAAGAGTAATTAGTTGAATAAGTAGGCTTTAAATACATTCAGGGATAATAGTGTATTTTGAAATGCATTCGCTCAATAAAAATCTTGATCAGTGGGAACAGCATCTGCAGAGGGCTGGTGCTATCTAAACCCTGCTGTGTGTTGTTGTGATGTCAAGAAAATGAGCTGTAAGAGTCATGCAGCCCTGCATTTAAATCATATCTCCATCACTTACTCAGCAGTTATACATCTTGGTGCAAGTTTTCTAAGCACACCGAGTCTCATTTCTCTTCTCTCTCACTTGAGAGTAATAGCGCTAACTCATAAAGTGACCTTGAAGAGGGGGTCAGATCAATTTGAAAAGTGTCAGGCATGACTTGTGTTTAAGAAATGTTGGATTTCTTTCTTCCTCCTTTCAGCAAGGGGTCGTGGCACTCATGGTAGTTCTGGGAACAATCCTAGTCTTCTGGGCCTCTTACAGAGTCAGTACTCACAGTATCTATCACCACCTTAATGCCCCTATTCCTGTCTTTGGAAGCTAATTTTCTCTATACACTGTGATAGGCTTGGTAATGGATTTAAAGACGAGAAGTATAGAAGTGCAGGAGACACCTACACACATTCTTGAGATTAAGTTACAATGATAAGCAGAGGTCTTTCCACTGGTGCCAACGTTAAGTTCCACATTATAGACCCTATGTGTAAAACTTATGACAACACTGGGAGGTAGGAGCATATGGAAGAGACATGGAGTTTCCATGATAATTTCTATAATTTAATATTCACCAGTCCCCAAAAAAACCCCATGAGTGTCATATATTATATGCTACTCTAAAGAAATCCTGTATGAAGCAATATTCAGCCTTCTATCTATAGAGATGCCTTAGATGGCTAGATTTTTCTCTTGAGTGTGATTTTCTCATCCCCAACCTCCAAACAACACTTAGCCAAGGATGTGAACCATCCCCTGGTATTAGAAAGACTGAATAGGGAAGTTACTCTTAAATTATCAGAACAATAGAAGAAGAAAATACCAGCACATGCCAAGCATTTTGAAGGTACAGTAGCTGCCTGAATCTTTGTAATAGACCAACCTGATCATTACCATTAGCCATATTTAATAAAGTGAAAATTGCTCAGAGAAGGTAAGCCATTCTATGTAGGCCACTCAGCAGCAGCTGGAAGGAAGAAAGGATTGTCTTGGAAACAGAAACATGGGCATGGTAGCTTAGAACAAAGAAGATGAAGATGACTCTATGTGTTGGCTGAAAATGCTGTTGAAACTGCCAAGAAAAAAATCTTATGGAACTTTGGAAATGAAAAAGTAGAGTTTGGGTGGAAGGCACATAATTGAAATCTTTCCCTGAGAATATAGGTTGGATGAAATCAAGACTGGGAAAAGATTGGAGGGAAAATGGAGGAATAAGGATGGTTATGATTAAAGATTTAGACAAGAAGGAGAACTGGCAGACAGATAGCAGGGGGAAATTGCAAAAGCCAAGAAAATGTCACCACAGAAGAGGTTGGTCAAAGATACCCAATTCTATATACAGAAGATGGAGGTGAAGGGCTGGGGCCCAGCCTTAACATTCAGACTTCAAAAATCACTTCATAGGTTATAATGGAAGGGTGGAAAAGAAAGCCTGCCTGCAGGGAGGTCATAAGGACTGTCACCTTTTTCTAACCATTGGGCTGCAAAATAGAAGAAGAACATGAGATTGGCCACTGGAAAGATGATAAAGTCTTGGGCACATGTATATTCAAAGTAAAGGAGCCCATGGGGAATGGAAAGGCTGACAGAGCTGAAGGTGAATTTTCTATCAAAAGGGGGTAAGGTGTTTGGCAAAAGACAGCAGCTTAGGAGGAGAGGAAAAACAGTCCTAGTGAAGCCCTAGGACTGAAAGACGTAGAGATAGAGGAAAAGAAACAGAAGAGAAATAGTGATGGTCTCTATGACTTCTGGATTGAAACCCCATTTCAAATTCTGGTATAGACCGTGAATGGGAGCCTTGAAGCCTTGTTACTTGGCTTGTGGACCACAGATCACTAGCATCAACACCATCCAGGACCTTGTGCCAAGTAGAGCAGCTAGGGCTCCCACTCAGACCTGTTGACTTAGAACCTGCATTGTAATAAGATTCCCTGAAGATTTGAGAAAGCACTAACCAGAGTCCCAGTTGTTTCCTCTATAAATTAAAATATGATGCCCTTTCACAGAGGTTGACAATCATGTGGTTCCTCCAAAACTCCAAAGTTTTCCAGAAAAAAAAGTCTCCAACAAACTTTGCTTAACCAGCATCTTCACAAAAACCAGTGTTTATGTACTTAACAAATATGCAGGGAATGCCCATTGTGTTCCAGGCGCTAGTCCAGGTTCTAGAGACCTAGGAATCAGTGCAAATTCAAATTTCTGCCCATGGGGAGTGTCTCAGTTACTTTTTACTCATTGCTGGGACAAAATACCAACACCCAAAATTAAGAAAGGAAAAGTTTATTTAGCTGACAGTTGGTGGAGGTTTCAGTCCATACTCCGCTGGGTCCAAGACAGATGGCAGCAGTTCATGGTGGCAGAGAACAACAAAGTGCAGAGGAGGAGCAGCAGCTGCGGCATCTATCAAGCCTCTCTCTCTTCCTTCCATGCCCACTGTGAAGATCAGAGCTCCTCCAAAGAAGTGGCGGCCACTGTGAAAATCAGAGCTCCTCCAAAGTGGCGACTGCAAAGGCCAAGATCCTCTAAGGAAATGGTGCTGTGAAGATAGAAACTCCTCTAAGGAAGTGGGGGGCCAAAACCTTCTTAAACCATTTATATACCCTTTTTTTGCTGAGTCACGCTGGGGCGGGCCCTCCCTGCAAGGAGGGGGGCCCACACTCCAGGGCATGGAATCGCCATGCCGATCTAGCCAAGCTTCCAAGCTTCCAACATCTCACGTTCACACAATGTCAACTAGTACATGGAACTTTTTGGTGGAAAAGGTAGAAAAATTTACAACCATAATAAAAATGCATAGTATGTCAGACAGTGGAAGAGCTAAGGAAAAAATAAGCAATCCAAAGGATATTAAAAAATAGGTAAAGGAAAACTTGAGGAATTTTTATTTCTCCCCAGAAAAGACACCTTTGATTGTTCTCCCTCATCAAGAGGATCCATACCCAGGAACAGGGTGACCCCGAGCACTTTCTATGAGGAGCCAGACAGCAACTGTCTTTGACTTGGTGGCATAAAAGCAATCATAAATAATATGTACATGAATGAGTGTGACTATGTTCCCATAAAACCCATTTTTAAAAGTTCAGGCAGTGAGCCAAATTTGGTCTGCAGGTTATAGTTTTCCAGTCTACATCCAAAGCTTCTGAGAGTTAGGACAAGATGAAGTTCAAGATCCCTCTTGCTTTTTTAAGCTCCTACTTCTTGCTGCATTCTTTACTTGGTGTTAGAGACAGAGATTATGATCCTAGGTGTGTGCTGCCTATCGGATTGTTTACACCTAGAACAATCTCCAGACTGTTCTGAGCCTTCTCCTGCAAAATGGACCTACCTGTAGTGACCTTCCAGAATTTTGGTGAGGATTAATGGCAGAGACAGTATATGTAAGGTGGCCAGCACACAAGTAGGTATTTTGCAAATAAAAGCCATTATTCCTCTCTTTCTGGGATGACAGAAATGGTCCTCAAGGACTCCTCTTTGCCTTCCTGCAGTAAAGCAGTTCCAAACAACTTCGCTTGTTCAGTGTTTGCCTTTTTACAGGATGTTGAGAGCTGGCATGTGTCCACAAGTTAATTTACCTCAAGGTGTGTGATGGGCATAGTAATTATTTTCAACAGAGACATTT